TGTTAACCAAAAGCCGATTTTGATTGAATAGGGAGGATTTCTATAATACTTTAAAATTATTTAAAAATAGTACCTAAAGGATGTCAATAATATAATTTACAAAGTATTTATTGAAATTTATTAATGAAAACCAGAATACTGTCTTTCAGTTAGCATTGATCTTTTGTGTTTTTTATAATTAAAAGTTGTAATTATGTAATCTGGCATTTATATTCACATCTTTCTTTCAGATAGCTCTGGAGATTTGGGGACCTGCAAATTCAACCTAGTGGTCTCATTTCTTTTTCCTTTATGATCTTCTTGTTTGCTTTAAGCAAACATGTTCAGAGGGGAGGGCACCTGAATATTGTGGGCTTATTTGCAGAATGCCATCCAAGTATTATAATTTTAATTGCATCCATGCATATAATCCTAACCAATGGACACAGACACCAAGGGGGGGAGGGCATGAGTGGGGGGAGGGACAATGGGGGATAACTTACATATGTAATACCTTAATCAATAAAGAAATAAAGAAAAAAAACAAAGGCATACATTCAACGAAGTACAAAAGACCTTTTGTAATAAAAGAACAAGCAAATTAAAACAAAAAAAATAAAAAGTTGAATTACAAAAAAATTCTAGCTGTACTACTTAAAAGTCTGTGACTCTAGGCAAATTAATTGTCTGTTTATATCTCAGTTTTCTAATTTATGTAATCATTGTACCAATTGTATGAGAATCATAGAGTGGTTCTGAATATTAAATTACACAGTATAAATGTTCATCATGCTACCTTCTAAATAACTAGGTTGTAATCAATGTCACTCATTATGATTATGAAAAATATTTATTCACTCAACAGCATTTATTGAGTGACTACATGTTCTGGGATAGAGATAAAATGATGACCAAAACAAACACCCTGTCCACTGGACAACTGTAGTTAATAACAAACAACAAAAGCAACACAACTATTAATATATGGTTATAAGCTATAATAAGAAATTAAGAAGTAGAGAGCAGTTATTCAAAGAACATAAAACAAGAGGATAGCATATTCCAAAAATCTTTTTTAAGTTAAAAATTTGCCTGGGAGAATTAATGAATGCTTCTCTGAGAAATGTGCAGATCTTTATACAAGACATTTCAATGATAAAGAGGAATAAACTCAGGAAAAGGTGTGTTCGGAAAAGGGGAGTCACTATACAAGGAGAGGTAATAAGTTTGTGAGGCCCAGAGGCAGAGAAAATAATAAAGACATGGAGTCTTGAAGGCAGAGGGTGATGGGAGGTTGGTGATTGAAGGGCCTTGCTAGCAGATAAGGGACAAATCACTCAGGGCCTAGATGCCCAAAGTATGGATTGAGGTCAGAGGACGGTAGAAATGTTTTGTAGATCAGGGGGAGGAGAGGCAGGGATGTGGCAAAATAATTCAGATTTTTAAAATAATTTCATTGATTCTAGAAAGGAGAATGGATTACAGGTGGCAAATTTAATGAAGGAATATGATGCAGATGGCATTTGAGTTGAAAGAGGGCAATATCTTAGAATCGGTGTAGACAGTGGGGATGGAAAGAAGTGGGACAAATATGGGGGCATTTTTCAAGTAAAAGCGATAGTTTTAGGTGAAGTATTAAAAACTGTGGGGATGAGGATTTGGAAAATAAGACTCAGATTTCTAGTTTGCACAAACCAATGCATAGAAAGCCATCCTCTATGACAGAGAAGAAGGACATTGGGCAAGAGAGAAAGGAGAGTATGAGCTCGATTTTCTATATGTATATGTGCTATCTCTGTGGTATTCACTACAGAGTGGTGGATTTGTCAGACCACAGGTCAGGGGAGGTCTAGGTTTTGAGTTGCACATATAGAGTTTAGGGATTGTAACTAAAACCATGGAATCAGATGACTGCCTTCTGGGAGAATTTAGAAAATCAAAAAAGTAAGCAGTCAAACAGGTTTTCTACTCACATCTGTACACACTGCAGGAATATAAATATTTCTCTTTGGCTTCCCAGTTTACTACATATAAAATTTTGGACAAAAATATTCATATCAAAATATATATACTGATCTGAATAGCTGGGATTTTTATACACTTTCCAACAACTAAGTGTAGACAGTAGAGAAAAATGATTAAAAACATAGGCCAGGAGCCTATTACTGTAAAAGTTAGAATTCTAAATGATATAATGGTTGAGGTATTAGAATACTGAGATTTGTTTCTGTATGTCTGGCAGGGTGGAGTAAGATAAAGGTTGGGTTTGGGCAACAAATTAGTTTACCACTGTCTTTCTGCTGCCTTTATGTTTCACCTCCATGATAATTTGACCTTTCTAGAATTCTGAGAATATGGGCAGCTTTTCCCTGAGCATCCTTCAGCTGTTGTTTGAACAACAATTTAAATAAACTGAGCTGCTTATACTTGTCTAGAACAATGTTCCTAACTTGTATGAGACCAGATGAATAGAGAGAAGATGAGACTATGCAAGAAGAGAACAGAAAAGAGGCCAACTCTTGCTTTATAAAATATATGAACATTTTTTTAGCATAGCAGTCAGAGTTGATAAAACTAATTGCTAAAAATCAAGTCACTGACATCACAGTACAATGATGTAATAATGACCACAGTAATCAAAATCATCATTCAGAGTTTATATAGTTTATGTACTCATTCATCATTATAAACATTATCTCGATTTGCTGCATAAGTTATGATAGAAACAAAAGTAAGTCAACATTACAAATTATTTTGTTTATTATTTTCCATTCAGTATATAAATCTGGAAATGTTGTCTCTTCTGTGAAATGAACCTTATTTTTACAGCATGTTAATATAATATTGATTATGACTAATTATTAAGGTTAGTAGTATAAATTCAATCAATCATGATAACAGAGTCAATGTTCTATGAAGGTTTAGGTATATACAATATCCCTGAGAATACTAACCAGTGCTAACTTGTTTGTCCAGTGAGAAATTTAAATTAATCTAAAGTATTTAAGCATTAATAAGAATTTAAAAATAAAATTAAATTTGATTTTTAATAGTTTACATATATAAAATCCCATAGGAGACTTCCATTCCAATAGTAAATATGATTTAAGGTAATGTTAGGCTTATTTTCAGAATACTTTTCACTTACAACTCTTTGTGAATAAAAGCACTGATGTATGTTAAGAAGAGAGAGAGACTGGTAGCTAACTCTGATGGTGTTTTCCCTAACTGAGCTATTAGTCATTAGTTTTATTTTTTATTATAATTTCTTATGTCAATATTCCATTAATATTTTCAAATCCTCCAACTTACAAGAAAGTCTTTCAGAAATTACTCATGCCATGTATGTCTCATTTAGATACAACTATATTTGTTATAAAGCAAATTGTTTTTTAAATGATCAAACATTAATATCCCAGAACATCAAATATTTTAAGCTGACTTGAAGACATCACAAAACAATTCATTTACTTTTTATTGAACTGAGTCACAATATATCAATTTTAATAAAATAGCAATTAGTAAATGTTTTGTCTGTATTTTAAATATATAAGGTGAATTGGTAAATGTTTATGAATGATTGCCCAAAACTGGGAAAAACCCAACATATTTTATTTAAAAAAAAATAGGTCTAAAGCTTCAGGTAACGAGTGAATGCATAAACCAAATAACTTCATGGTCTTACTGGTACCTAAAATTCTAATCTTCTTGGTAAAATATCTTATTTGAATAATAGATAAACTTACATTTGATCTCCTATATGTGGGGGGGAGAAACTTTAAGATACTTGAGAAATGCAAAATAAACTACTTCTTCTTTAAAATAATTATCTCACATTTATTCTGTGTTTATGTTCAATGCTGTTAAGATTCAAATTTAAACCTACATAATCCATATAAATGAAGCAATTCAAGATTTCTTTAAATCTCTAAACTCACATTTGTCAACATAATTAAAGTACACATATATATGACTTAATTCACAAGAAGCTGATTCAATCAGCCAAGTTTTAAAAGTTGCTTCTGTTTCTAATTTGTTAGGTAATTAAGTTTTATTAACATATTCATAATAATTTCCTGTTTCAATAATGTGTTCTGATATCATATAAGACAAATGTGTTCTGATATCATATAATAATGTGTTCTGATATCATATAAGATAAATGCATATCTTTTGATATCCTCCTTACTTGCCATACCTAGCAATTATCTGTTGCAGATTATGAGTCATTCTCCAAAAATGTAAAACTTTGAAGAAGTCTCATGTGTGTGAAGGTTTTCTATAAGTTTTAAAAGTAGAACTCTACCCAAAGAGGTAAAAACATTAGAAATAAACAGGAAATAATGTTGACCTGCTTAGTAAGGATACACAATCCCATGCTGAGCCAACAAATCAGAAAAGCTGAAAGCCAGTGGGCTCAGCAACAGTTCAATTCTAAGACTTTGAACAAGGCAAAAGTAGAGAAGGATAAACAAAAGTCGGGAGGGAATAACACGCTATTTCACGGAGGGTGCGGGGCGCAAATCCACTGTCCAGGAGGCTACTCATTTGTGCACCTCATTCCTCCTGGAATATAGATTCAAGCCCCAGGGATCCAAGATAACTTGATAAGCCAGTTATGAGACCAGTATACAAGGTGCATTTGAGTGGTGGCTAAACACGTTTCACCTGACATCAGATAACTGGAAGAGTACTATAATTGAATGCCAGAATCCTATATCCTCAGAAACATGAGAACCGCTCCACCTAGAGATGTATCCAAATGAATGTATATTCCATTTGTGATGACAACTCTGAGGACTTGCAGAAGGAAGGCAATACGTTTGAAGTGACAGAAATTAATGAACAAACTTTTAACGAGAGGACAACTTGGGGAAACAAAATCCCTGCTGGCATCTCCTACCCAAAATGTGCAACCTGCAACCTTTCAGACTTACTAATTAGCAAAGCACACAGGGGAGGGAGGGAGGAAGGAGTGAAAACTGGGAGCTGCTTGGAGGTCCCAGGGGGACTTACTGTACCTGTGTCCGCATCCTTCACCTGTTGCCTGGCCCGAGTTGGCCGGCTCCACTTTGAGCTCCTGCAGGACCAGCCCTTTCTCCTGCTGCCCGGAAAAGTCCATGCCGGGCACTTCCTCCTCCTCTAGGGACTCCACGTAGAAGAGAGTCCGGGCCGGCGGCGGGGTGCCCTGCCGGGGCGCCCCTGGCTGCAGCCTCGTGGCCACGGGCAGCAGGGTGCCATTCACCGGGTTGAAGGAAGAGGAGGAAGAGGATGGGGAGGAAGACGAAGTGGAGGAGGAGGAGGAAGAGGAGGAGGAAGGCTTCTTCCAGAAGGTGCTCACGCTGCCCTTCTCTTGGCTCTTGAGCAGGCGGTTCTGGCTGGGTCCCCAGTGCTCGAAGCCGCCGCTGCCGTCCTGCTGCAGGCAGCCGCCCCCCGCCGGGCTGCCCGGGGACGGGGACGGGTGACTGAAGAGTTTCCAGCGGAGTCGCAGGATGTGTTTCACATCAAAGTCTTTGCGTCCGGAGCCCGACATGCTGGGATTGCAAGGACGGCTCAGGCAGCTCGGCTGGCTGGCGGGAGTGGACGGGGCCAGCTGGCGGGGGAAGCCCGGGAGCCGGGGTTGCAGGAGGAGGCTGGTGAGCTCTGTGCACCCGGAGCAGCAGCCGAGGCAGCGAGGAGGCGGGATGCGCGCTCTGCCGGGGCGCCGCGGGAGCTTGGACAGCAGAGCTGAGCGGTTCAGCTGCGGTCAGGTCCGCAGGACTTGTGGGAGCAGAGGCTGGAGAGGGGAACCGAGGGCTGAGAATTCTCGATCTCTGCTCAGGAGCTCCAGCTCCGTCCTGACAGCGGGAGGGACGCCCCTGATGCTGGAGATGCGGGAGAGGGAGCTGCTCCGAGCGCTTGAAAGCTCAGGGAGGCAGCGGAGGTAGCTGGATACACCTCCCTGGATGCACAGCTTCGTGGGAAAGGTGTGGGGTCTCCAGTCCTTGCAGCTGAGTTCAGCGCCCAGAGAGCGCGAAGAGAAGAGAAAGAGTGAAGGAGCCCCAAGTCTGGAAGGAGCGCTCCCCGCACCCAGCCTGCTGCCTGCACCTGAGCCCCTGTCCCTGCCCCTCTGAGAGCTCGCCCGGGGTTTCTGAGAAAGTCAAATGCCTCCTGCAAGGTGGGGAAGGGTGGTTTTAGAGAGTCCGTTTGTAAAAGAGAGAAAAATTAATATGCCGGAAATATATAGGGAGGCGAAAGGAAAAGCTGTCAAGGTCCTCACAGTACAATTTTCTCTCTGCCTCAGCGCCTCCTCCTCCCCGTAAGTGACGCAGCTGTGCACTGGGGCCTACAGGGAGGGACAGAGGGAGGGAGGGCCCGGGAGGCTTCAATCTTCTTTATGCAAGTGAAGCTGCTGCTCTTATTGTCCCTCTGCGCGGGTCCTGTCACCTTTTTCATCCTCTTCATTGCATTGCTGTGCAGCAATGGGAGTAGAGCAAGCGGGCATTGTGCTTGAGCACCGGTAAACACCAACCATGAATCAGAGCAGCGTCAACTTAATAGGCTGCCATCGGTGTGCAGGTGGAAGGTTAATGGTTTGCATTATTTAATAAACTGCATCCTTTAACCTTTAGCCTTAGTTCCTCTGTAGTGAGACAGAAGAAACAGGGATACTGGCTGTCCCAAGGATGAGAATGCCACCGGTCTGACACTTCCATTGTGATGCTGTCAGTAACACCCTCAGGCGGCACTCCACGCGGGGGGCCAGAGGCACACAGGAGAAATCCGAAGGTGGGCTCCTGAGTGCAGGGGGCCAGGGTTGCGAAATCGGTGCAGCCTTAGACTGAGAACTCCTCTCAGTGCAAACTGAGAATGGAGAATGGAAGAAAATGCTAAAAGAATGTTAAGGCATCGTCTTGTCGTACATAAATCATAACACAAAATGTTTGGAAGAATTTAAGCAATAAAGGAATACAGTAGTCTATCTATATTTGGGGGAAATACTTTCCAAGACCCTCAGTGGAAGCCTGACACCAGGGATAGTACAGAATCCTATGAATGTTGTGTACCTGCCCCTCCATACATACCTTTTACTTAACGAAAGCACTTGAAGGTTTCTCTTTGGCATATCCACATGGCCAGAATCACAACTCTTGTGGTATTGTAGTTTGGGGCCATAGTTAATGAAAATAAGGGTAACTTCAGCACAAGTACCACCATACCTGGATAGTCCATTTGTTAATCAAGAAGGCTTCTAAGTGACCTCCCAGCAGGAGGCATCATAAACTGGATAAAAGGATAGTTCACATCCTGGGCTAGGCTGAGCAGGACAGTGGGAGATTTCATCATGACACATAATTTAATATTTATGAATTGTTTATTTCTGGAATTCTTTACTTAATATTTTTGGTCCATAGTTGAGTGTGGGTAACTAAAATTGGAGAAAGAGAAACTCTGGATAAGGAGGAATTACTATACATATATCCAAATGCTACTATCCTACAAAAATCTGTTTAAAGAAGAGAAGCTGATAGGGTTTGATGGGAAGAGATCAGCCACAGAACTTGTATGACATATGCATACCCCATGGACACAGATGCTAATAGGGTGGTGATGGCCTGGGGCAGGAAGCAGGGATGGGCTATAAGGGGTCAATAGGAGAATAAAAGGGACATGTGATACTTTTAATAAAGACTTTTTCTTGGAGAAAGAAAGAATTGTCTGATCCTATATTTATATTAAGAAGGATGATGATTATGATGCATTTCTAGGTGTGACTGGTTGGAGATTTTTCATACTAGTCCCCTTTGCTGAAGGTAGGAGGTTAGAGAATTAACGGATTCCCTAACTGAGCCAGGAGTATGGTAATTGTCCATTCATGAAATCACCAGTTTCAGCAACCCTAACAGGGCATAAGAATCAAACATTAAATTGCAATTGTATTACTGTTCTTGTACTAAGTAGTTGTTGAGCAGTAAATTTAATTAGAAACCAAAGCTAAATTTCAAGGTCTTCCTAGACATAGTTTGACGTTTTAATAAAACAAGAAATTAAGCACACACACACACACACACACACCCCAAAAAATCCTACTTTGGGGGGAAGAAAAGTCACTATTATGCATTTTAAATATTGATTTATACCACAGCAGCTGATCTATAATCCCTTGTGTCTTTATTTTTCTTTCAGTATTCAGTGCTGTTTTTTTTTAAAAAAGCAAAAAGCCCTTTAAAGCAAACAATAGTGACAGGTCATTTTTATCCAAGAACTGAAACAAGTAAGTATTTCCTTTAGGGAAGGAAAGAGTGTATGAAATTACACAACAAAAACAGGACAGAGAAAACTTTCCATCAGAGGTCATGTAGGAATTTGAGCGCATATAATTAAATGGTTTCCATAGTAATTGGTGCTTTGTGGATTTTCTGACTTGATATCAACTTTAATTCAATTAAAATAAAATAAAATAAATAATACAAATATCCAATGTCTACATTTTCATCATAATATCAATGACCAGTCAAAAGTGATAATGTAAAATTTCTTTGGTTGTTCTCCTAAAAATCCATTTTGTATTCTCCTTTTACTCTGCAGTACTTTGTTTACTTGTCAGTAATTTATATGACTCAAACAAAATATATTATTGAGTTTTAGTAAAGGAACATGAATTAAACATATGAAAGCATACTTAATAGATAAAGAGTAATTTCTATTTTTATACATACAGTGATATTTCATATGCTTAAAACATTTTCTCAGTCTATTATGTAAACTACTATATTTATCAATCTGCATACAATATTTTGCTGAGAAAGATAGCTAAATATAATTTATCTAATTATCCATAGGATTTAGAAAATAAAGTATGCCTAAAATGATGATAAAGGGAAATGATTAAAAAAAGATGTCATTATATATTTTTTTATTTTATTGTTACTATACTGTTATTAGGAAAAAAGTAGGGTGAGTAGGGAAGAAGGAAGGAAGGAAAGAAGGAAGAAAGAAAGGAAGGAAGGAAGGAAGAGAGGAAGAGAGGAAGGAAAGAAGGAAGGAAGGAAAGGAAAAGAAAGAAAGAAAGAAAGAAAGAAAGAAAGAAAGAAAGAAAGAAAGAAAGAAAGAAAGAAAGAGGAGCCAGATAAAAATAATAGAAGGAAAGAGGGGAAAGTAGTACTTTACTATGATAAAATATGACTTAGCTTTACATATTAGAAAAAAGAAAAACCTTGAAAATATGTTTTTGAAATACTGCACTCATTCATTTACTTATCCACTATTCAAAATAAAAAGTTTAATTGAGCACTTACCGCATACTGGGTTTAATGCTAAGAGGTAGCAAACATGGAAGAAGTATGTTCCTTGCAGCTGACTGGAAGATCAAACAAAGAATGATTGTTTACCTATTTTAACTTACAATTGACTTGTGATTCAATTGAATTAAGATTTGAGATATCCAAGCTTATAGAGAAGACATTAACATAATAAAAATCACTTTTTAAGAATCCTAATAGTCACATTTCACTTTGTTCTAAAAGCAAAATAAAGTCAATTATTCTGATTCCAATGTTTAATTAAATTAAACTGTCATTTTAGTCAATGAGAATCTTTTACATGATATGAATGTTCATATTATTGTCATAGTTCCCTAATACATCTGGAGGATATTCAAGAATTTACTACTAACACATACATATAACTCTTCATATAATTATTAACTTTAACATGGATATTCAGTAAATTACACTGAAAGTTCTACAACTCAAACATTTAAGCAATAAACAATAGATTTGGATTTAAGCAATTTCTTGGCTGAAACATTTATCTTTTAGTAATCCTTTTCTTTATACATTTAATTAGATGTGTCATTATCCAGGAAACATGAATTTTGATTATCTTGCGTCTTTTTCACAGCCCTCCTGCAATGACTAAGAATTTGAATGGGAATTATAATTCAATTAGAAGGTTCATGCCTCATGATGGTTCCTATAGATTTCTCATTTTTGTTTATCTTTGTTTTATTTTAATGAAGCATATCTATGCACATTACTAGAAAATATCATTTAAAATGAATGGATGTCATTGAAAATAAGTGCACAACATTGTGGATTGGAAATTAAATGAAGATAGTCTTATAATGACATTTTCTTTCCAGGAATGAATGAAATATAACACCAGATAGCACTAATGTTAACTAATCTCATAGATGCAATCAAGGGCTCCTATTTCTTCTTCAAATATATAAATGCTAGGGGCACAGTGCACAAATTGATGCACCTTGAAAGGAACTATGGGCCCTAAGGCTGGGTCCATCCTCTGTGCCCCTGCCTGATCCCTCCCATTATGGCCCATGTTCCTCTGTCTGTCAGCAGCCCCACTCCCTTTGCTCCCACCTGCTGATGGCACAGAGTGATTGAGGCCTGCACCAGCAGTGGGTGCCAGTGGTGGTTGCTGCTGCAATCACCCCTGAGGAGCAGGGGAAGGTGGAGAAGCCCTCAGGAGTGATCAGGGCCAGCAGTCATAGCTTGCATTTGGTGATGGCGCCAAGTGATCGGGACTAGCACTGGACACCAGCAACAGGTGCAAGCAGTGGCTTC